AGTCCTGAGTCCAATGCCTTACTAAGTCCTGAGCCAAGTGCGTTACTAAGTCCAGAGTCCAGTGCGTTACTAAGTCCTGAGCCCAGTGCGTTACTAAGTCCAGAGTCCAGTGCATTACTAAGTCCTGAATCCAGTGCATTACTAAGTGCAGAGTCCAGTGCGTTACTAAGTCTAGAATCCAGTGCGTTACTAAGTCCTGAGTCCAATGCCTTACTAAGTCCTTAGCCAAGTGCGTTACTAAGTCCTTAGCCAAGTGCGTTACTAAGTCCAGAGTCCAGTGTGTTACTAAGTCCAGAGTCCAGTGCCTTGCTAAGTCCAGAGTCCAGTGCCTTGCTAAGTCCAGAGTCCAGTGCCTTGCTAAGTCCAGAGTCCAGTGCGTTACTAAGTCCAGAGTCCAGTGCATTACTAAGTCAAGAGTCTAGTGCTCCGCTTAGGGTCTCCACAACATGGCAAATGTTACCAAGGGGTCCCAGACCACTGAACTAGAGGATTATCAGAGGTTCTTGACACTATTTTTAGTTTAAAAAATGAATGTGCCTGACAGGTTTGCTTTAATCCATCAAGACTGAAAGTGGGAATAATACATTTCCAGAGAGCTATCATGTGGGTGATTCTCCACCCACATCTACCCAAAAATATCCCCATCTACCCTAATAGACTGGAGTGAGGTGACTACTTAATTAATTTTTATAACATCGACTAGTTCACCTTTAATGAATACTCTTTTGCAAGTTGCGACAGGGCCACCGAGAGTGTAATGGCTCAGGGGTGGGGCTGGGAATTGGCAGGTTATCCCCTGTCACACCTGAGCATCAGAACAGATCACAAAACGCATACTCACAGCTAAGAGACTGAAAAAGCAAAATGTGCGCCTAGCAAAATTCTTCAACGTTCTTATCAGGAGACTTGTGTCACAATGCTGACTGATAGCACAGGCCTTTGATTATCAGTGGGTTGCTATGGCAACTGTAACCATAGCGGCACAACAGAAATTCGCATTCAAATTAAAATAATGCTATAATGACAAAACCATGCAAGAGCGTTTATAATCCTATCTGCAGCATGTTTGCAGACCACTATATTGTATATGTATTATATATATATATACAAATGCATACTGGGGGGATTTATCAAAACAGGAGCAGACAAAATCTTGAGCAGTTGCCCATGGCAACCAATCAACCTCTCTCTCATCAGTTTGTTCAGTTAAGATTTGAAAATAAAAGAGAGAAGCTGATTGGTTGCCATGCACAGCTGCACCAGATTTTGTCTGCTCCAATTTTGATAAATTCCCTTCACTGTATGTACACAAACACATGCACCACCCACACACTTGCATATTCATAACTATAAAAAATGGGATCAGTGGTGATTTTGTTTTTATTATTTCTCAAGATCCAGTTTGTATTACTTATGTGATGACAGCAGTACTCATTCTCACACATTCTATTATATTAGAATCAAAATTATAATATATGTGTAAATGACATGACATGGTATTGGCACATTATAGTGATGAAGAACCTGCCTTGCTCAAACATAGCTAGCAACTGCTGATTAGCTGGTTTCACTGGTTTGTCTTCCAAACCCTTACCACTTACTGGTTTGCCTTTTAATTCCATTACTACTTACTGGTTTGCCTTCTAACCCCTTACTACTTACTGGTTTGCTTTCTAATCCCTTACTACTTACTGGTTTGCTTTCTAATCCCTTACTACTTACTATAAACCCCCCCCCCCCCCTACTTACTGCTTTGCCTTCTAACCCCTTACTACTTACTGGTTTTCCTTCTAACCCCTTACTACTTACTGGTTTTCCTTCTAATCCCTTACTACTTACTGGTTTGCCTTCTAACCCCTTACTACTTACTGGTTTGCCTTCTAATCCCCTACTACTTAATGGTTTGCCTTCTAACCCCTTACTACTACTGGTTTGCTTTCTAACCCCTTACTAGTTACTGGTTTGCCTTCTAACCCCTTACTGGTTTGCCTCCAAACCTCTTACCACTTACTGGTTTGCCTTCTAACCCCTTACCACTTACTGTTTTGCCTTATAACCCCTTACCACTTACTGGTTTGCCTTATAACCCCTTACCACTTACTGGCTTACCCTTGGACCATGTAGATATCCTTATTGGTCTTTACTAATTTCAGTCACTGAGGATAAACATAGAAGTGGGGTAGAATCCAGTGATGCTGAAGTGAACTTGACTGTATACCTCCTTTAATGCACAAAACTCATATTGCTGGCTTTAAAATGTTTATCATAGCAACCAATGCTTATGCAGCAAGGTAGAAAGTGCAACTACACCCTTGGCTGCTTGTCTTCTGCATTATCCCTACATTGCGTTGGGCCCTATTCACACTAGCGAATGGGGCCGATCACAGGCGATTTTCTCACACGATCTGCTGCGGATGGGAAACACTGTACAATACAATGCCAGCTGCGATTACCTGCAATCACACCTGGATGCAAACAGTCTGCTTCAGTTAACAGAAGTGGTGTATTGAAGTGTGTAGCCAAAAGTTTTGTTTTGGATGCAGTGGGAAAAGGGATTAGATCACCTCTCTGGTTTTATTGCTCAGGGGATTCATCATGTGACCACTGGCACTGGAGCAGAAAGTAATGGGAAATCCAAACTTTTACAGCGGTCATTGGAACAGAAATATAGGGGAAAACTTTTAATGGGGACAACTGTTACAGTGGCAATTAAGAGGGGAATTGCCCTCACCTTGGAGAGATTGTCTCTAACTTCAGATTGTCTCTGTAGTACAGGTAAAGTAAGAGGAAATCTCCCCAATGGGATGCACAGTAAAAATGACCCAACACAGATTTTAATCATTCGGTACTCAATCTTAGTGAGACTAGGGTTCGGTAAATTATTCCTAAACCTTTCATGCCCCCAATGGTAAAAAAAAGTTTATAGTCATGCAATAAAAGTATGGGGATGCAAGAGAAGGGCTCCAAAATCATTGCTGTCAGTGGGATTGTGGCTCCCTGGGAAGAACAACAGCCCCTCAATTGATACTAATGAGAAGGCAGCTGCAGAATCCAGTACCTGATGGGAATTTGTGAGGGGTTATGCAATATGGCGTTTAAGTACAAAAAGAACCCTAATGTGGCCACACATAGGTGGGCGCATTGGAGCTAAGCCAGGGTGGCAATGTTTATGATCACACAAATAAAAATGATGACAGTGTATTTTATAAGACTTGGAAGGATCTTTGCATGTCAACCATGTTTGTAAAACAAGAGAGCTGTACACAACACAGCCACTAACAAGGGGCCTCTGAATCTGGACCAATGTCACCAAGCTCACCTGTCACCATTACCGGTCCTCCTGGGCTGCCACAGACCACACAACCTCTGCCGTCATGAATTAATAAGGGCACACGGCCGAGCAGTGAGGGAGCGCACAAATAATAATGACCTGCTGTCTGAGGTGCAGGGAGGCCCCCTGTCTTACCTTGTTCTCATGGTTTATCAGCACTTCATTGTTCTCATCCTCCTTCAAGTCATTCTGCACCAGTAAAGAATTAAAGGCTAACTTGACCATGTCTGCTCAGAGCCCCAGGTACAGGTAGAGCAGCTGCAGGCAAGCAGAGATTTGTGTGCAGAGCTTGGCCCAGCAGGAGGGAGGCTACGGCCTGGTAGTAGAGGACTGACTTACTCTATCTGAATTAAAACAAATACATTTGCCTATAGGTACACTTTGAGCTTATGGAATGAGATGAACTGTGTGGAGAAGTTGGACATTATATATTGTTACATAGTTACATAGTATTTGAGGTTGAATAAAAACACAGGTCCATCAAGTTCAACCTTTGTTCTTGGACGAAGCCTGTGCAGACTGCTGAAAGCTAGAACAAGCTAGTAATGATATCTGCAGCCAGCATCACATCTAAAACAGAGACACTAAATATTTAAAGCACTCCACCCGAAAGGTATTGTTGTCATAGGCCTGGCAAGAGGAAATATTTTTGTAAATTTTTTGCCGTCTTTCCTCCCCTTGGGGGATTTTACCTTACTTCCTGTTCCCATGACATCAGTAAAAGAAATAATAAGAACGGCTGTAGCAAGGACAGAAGAACAGATACAGGAACAACAGGTCTTTTTTATTTTACTGCAAAAAATGTTTTGCTGCAGTCCATGTCTCTACTAGAGAGATTTTTCCTTCCTCATGACCTTACAGGAAGTGAGGATAAATATGCCAGGCCAGAATGAGAGGTTCTTTCTTCAGGTGCTCATGTCACTGTCTGAGTGACATGGACTCTTCCTATTGACTTCACATGACAGAAGCCTCTCAAGCTGTAGAAGACTGCAGCAATGGGAAGACTTAATGAAGAGGGGTGGCAACAAGACCAGTTGGCGGTGGGTCATAACTGCAGTGTTGGATCACTGGTCTCCACTCCTGGAAGAGACGCCGGAAAGGGGTATGGATGATTGACAAAGGTGAGTAAAAACAACTTTGAAAGTTTTCTTTCTTTTTGTAAAGGTTGTGAATGGATGGGAGCATGGTGGGTGGGAGGGATCGGGAAATACAGAGTTTGCCCAGAGATTAATTTACTAGCATTATCCAATCAAAGCTCATCTTTTACCAACTAACGTAAGCTGCTGAAAATAAACATTCCGACTGGCAGCCCTGAATCACAGCACATTGATACCCTTGCGATATGTTGCCATTTTTACTGATTTTGTGATAGCATTATGTGGCTGGGTATAGAATCAATGACCAAACACAGTGCATCTATACGGCATTCATAAACTATGGCCAGGGGCAATCCTGCAATGAGAGTTCTTCCATTTTAGTGTATGCATTATATATGACCTGCCTTTCCATGTTATTCTCCTATACAACACTGTCTATTCTAGTAGCTGACATATATAAATCAGCCCATCCCAGAACATATTACAATCCTTCTATAGATCCTTCTATAGATGGTACATAAAGAGTTGTTCAACAAAAGCCCATTGCTAACAGATGTCAATTTTCATTATAGGGAACACTGGCACGGATAACACGAGGAGACCATGGATAAGATTGCTATGTTGCTCCTTTATCTGTCATCCCATAGTCTTCCCAGTCTGGCGGCCCTATTACCCCCAGACTCTAATTACATAACGGATATCTGGAGGAATCTTCCAATTGGGCACAAGGTGGATGGATTTTTGTCTGTGGATATGCCCATCAGGTAAGATCTGGATACATTTACTCTGCTATTACAAGAACTGAAGGGGATATACCAGTTCTAGGCTTAGCGGGTTAACTGCAGAAACTAGACACAGAAGAAAGTTTATTGCATGACTACACAGTGATTACAGAAGTTCAAACAAGTGATCCATCACATCTGACAGTGTTTGTAAACTGATAAAGAGATGTTTCATGGCTCAACAGGTATGTATGAATGACTGTATAAAATCTACAGACACAGACCATTGAACCCCAACATGACCTGACTGCTAGACATAACCATAAAGGTGCCCACAGGCATTTAAAAAACCGGAGATGACATACAACTGCTGTTCCTGAGATCCCCGTTTGAAGATGCTAGTTGCCTGACTTTTATGTTGATCCAAAGGCTTTGCTAATTTTGAATTTGCTCACCTGGAACAAGAATGCAGACCAGGGTTTCTGACTTTCCTGGGACTTCACTAGCTGCATGCTGCTTTTGAGTCAGTAAATGACCAGGCAACTAGCATTTTTAGAAGGAGGTGAGACAGGGCAGGCTCCATATTTTGTCCACTACAGTTTTAGTTTAAAGTATATTTTCACTTCTGCAGCCAAATTGGTAAAATACAAACTTTATTTTGTTACATGTTTCCATTTATGTAGCATAACTTAAAAATATATTTACAAATTGCCACTTATATTTTCACTCGCTCTTTTGTGAAAACAGGACATTTTTCCGTTCCAAGTAATGTGGAGAGGGACCGAGGAGTGAGGGCCGGTGCACACCTGGGCGATCCATGACCGCGCGCCAAGCGTGCACGATACCGCACCGTTTCATGGAGTGGCCCATCACCGATGATTGCGCTGTGGGTGGCATTATTTTCTAATGGCATCCCAGTCGCGCCAAGCGTATTGCGCAGTTTTCCACCGGGATTCCGCCCGTGCATCCGAACACACAGCCAAAACAAAAATCAATGGTGCCGCGTGGCAATCGCTGTCTGCAATTGTGCATGACGCGTGTCCCGGATTGCTCAAGTCTGCCCTGGCCCTTAGTGTTTACAATAATCAACACTGTCTGTACTATGCTGGCAGATCCTATTCTTAGTCGTGTACTAAGGCTTGGGTTTTGCATTGTATGTTAATAATAGGAGTCTATCCCCACTTTGTCCCTCCATTTTCAAGTTGTGCAGAGTAGCTTGCAGTCTGCCCAAAGGACTGTTACAAAGAAACATCTAAAAAAGTAAGAAGTATTAAAAATATATATTTTTAGCTATGCTGTGGAAATGCAAACACATTGCAAACATATAGGGGTTAATTTATAAATATTCCACACAGCATATAGCTGGGGAGATGCCGTTTGTACAGCACTAGCACCTACATGGTGCCCTTAGGAAAATCCAGTGCTCCTCGGCGCCATCTAGTGGTGCTAGTGGTGTTCAAACAGCATACGCCCTGCTGTATGCTGGATGGAACATCTATAATCAGCCTAATGGTGTTCTTTTTAAAAACAAATTTGTTTGTAAAAGTGGAAATAAGTGGAACTAAATTTTGAAATTAAGCAACTGCTATGAGATCAATATTTTAGGTAAAAGAGACTCTAAATATCTCTTCTGCCCTAAAATCTTCCCCCCTGCTAACACGTTTTTGTGAATTGTACACTGACAGCTACACATGCACAGCTCAGGTAGGTGCCAGGATGAATGAACTTCCATGTGCATGAGTTAAGTCATCACAACCCCACCAATCAAGACGGCCAAAGACTCCTGAACCTAGAAGGCTGGGAGAAGATGAAAGCTCTGGTTATGAGAGAGTTTGCAAATGTTGTAGCTCTAAGGAGTGGCACTTTACATTGTACGGCTGCCATAATGTGCAAATATGCTGTGCATGCTTGCTCATTATGGCTAAAGCTTTGGTGAAGCTGAAAAATGATTCAGCTTTAAGGTTTCGGTGGGCACTATAGGGCTATTTTGACTTGCCATGGACATTTAAAGGGCAACCTGTACAGAGAAAAATATTTAGGCTGCCATTGTTGACTTCTACTTCTGAAAATGTTAATCGTCTGGCTTCCATGCTGATCTGCTGGCATTTTTACTTTCTGATCCACTGACCTGGAAGTAGGCAGATCTGGAGGAGTGACTGACTCTGACTTTCTAATCTGCATGTTTGTTCCAGGTCAGTGGCACAGAAAGACAGCCGAACAGACAGACCTAGCATTTTCAGGCATAGCTGAGCATTGGCAATCTCTGTATTTCTCCCAGTATAGGTTTGTCGTAAACATTGTTATAGGGATCTGATCACTCAACAAAGGAGCCCCAATGATCAAGAATGGAAAGGAAGAATTCTCCTCTGTGTTACCCACTAAGCACCCAGTATGAGTCTTCTTTGCTATTTTTGGGCCTGTGTGCAGCAGCCCTGGCTGAAGAGGTAATTTATTACATTAGAAGGAAGCAGAGAGATTCATTTAAGAAAAAACTTCAGGGGGTTTACCTGAAATAAACTCCCCTGAGTCAGGATTATTGTGCCATCTGTGTTTTACTTAAATGCATTGATCTCAGAAGTCATACTTGTCTTTTGTCCTTACATCACCTTTCACTGGGAAGGGTGAATGGAATGACTAATATGGCTATTATATGTCTGTCCCTACAGTGATAGCGCAGACAGCTATAGGCTGATCACTGTATTACTCACTGCTCCTCGCCATGCTTTGGAATTCACACAGTGTCTGCACAGTCCTGTCTGGCAGGGCAAAAGACCTGATTTTTTCTCTCTGCTGCAGTTAAGTAATACAGGTCTCCTCCTCACCCCCACCCTGGTACTGGACAGTGAATGAGAAGTAGCCCAATGCGTTACTCTATGCCTTTGCCCTCTCCGCCTATCAGCCCGGGAAACGGACGTGCGTCTGTTTATATCCTTTTACCTCTGATTTGTCATGTTTAGGTACAGAAAAAGTAACCTTCTTCCATTTTTTTTCTGGACCTAGACAGAGCTGGAGGTAATCAGATGTAAGCAGACGCACATCCGTTTACATCTGTCAGTCCATAAATTAACATTGAGCTTCCAATCAGCTCCACCTTAAAAACTGTCAGGCGGATCTTATCAGAATGGTCATGTGGAAGGAGTCTTAAACATTTATTTCACATTCAGCACTTATTGAATTGTGTTGTCAGTCAAGCAATGGAGGGGCCAAGGGGTGCACCATAAGGCAACAGTTGCTCTTAATCTGGCCCTGGGGTCAGTGAATTGAATGTGGAAAGACCTAGGCAGGTAGTATTTTCAGGAGAGCAGCAGTTGCAGCCTCCATATTTTACTCAGGTCTGTACCGACACTGGAGCTTGAGCATTTCTTGCTTGGCTGTATGCCAGCCAGTGGTGAGACCAGTAAACCACACACTAGAAAGATGTATGGCTATATATACACTGAGTGGCCAGATTATTATGACCACCCCATCAGTACTTCGTTGGGCCACAAGATGACTCCACGAGATGACTTCGTTGGGCCGCCTCGTGACTCCACGAGATGTTGAAAGGTGATGCAAGGAATCTGACACTGCACTGTTGCCCTTCTGTTGTCTTGTACCAGTCTTGCCACTCTCCGTTCTGCCCTAACATTGACTAGTCGCTGACGGCCACAATTCGCACGTTCAGACCCAGATTTTCGGCTGACAGTCCAGTCTTTAAACACTTTAACAACAGCTGCTCTTGAACATTTAACGAATTCTGCTGTTTTGCTGATACTCGCTCCATAGCTCAGAGCGCCAACAATCATCCCATGTTCTGTTAAATCGCATTGTTTACCCATATCTTCAGAAAAAAATCACTTCTACATAACAGGCAGGGTAAACTGACCCACAGTTGCCCATGCAAAGGCTGAGTGTTCCGTTTTAGGCTGACTTTATATTTAAAGATTAAGTGTACTGTAGAGCCCCTTAGACTTTTATGAGGCTCTTTTGGGCAGCCAGCATTGAGAGGGGTTCATCTATAAACAAACATAAGAGGCATGCATCTGCGTTGAAGGAGTGTGGGCTCTGTAATGTGAGCAAATGGGGGCAGAGAGAAGAGTACTTTCTCTGAAAATATTCTTTAACCACCAAGTACAGTATATAAAGAAAAGCATGCAAGTCCCTGGTGCTGTGCCCCATGATACACATAGGAATCATGTTTGTCTGTGATAAGTTCACTGTTAGGACAAAGTTTACTCACGTGTTCCTAGTAACCTACTGCAAACAAATAGGTGAAAAATAGCCAAGTCACCGTTTTCTGGCCAACACCGCAACACGCCCAGAGGTGTAACAAAAAGCCACAAGGCTCTGCTTCAGGAATTAAAGGGAGTGTATATGTACATATTTTCTTTATTATGGTCAGGGCATATCTAAAAAATGTTTTTTATTAGGTAACTCTTCAGCCAATTTGTCTTTTACATTTCACATAGAAACCCGAAGAACTAGAGCTTCTTATAGTTGTGTATTGCTGTCTGTGTTCCCATTAGAGATATTTTCACACACTTCCAGTCTTAGTAATGAGAGTCCAGGGGACACAAAGTGGTCGGAAATCTCATTCAAAGACAGCAACAACATCGTGCTTTTTGTCAGTTTGATATTTTTTTTCTCTGCCTTCCTGTTAGAGTGACATCCACCCCCCTCATTTCTTGTCTAGAGGTTGCAGGTATAAAACATTAGAGGAATCACCACATTGATGTTACAACCAGTGGTAAAGTTCCCCACTCTAGTAAAGTAAACATTTTGGGTGGGCGTTGGATTGAGTGATTGAGGAAGAGTGATGGGCAGTCTTCTCTACTATTCTCCTTGTGTGCCAGCCTTGGGACTTTAGGCACTTTTCACATTAACTAGTATCCCCTAGTTGTCAAAGTCATGCTTTCTATAGATATCAATAGCTCACGCTAACATTTTCACATATCTTGCCAGCAACAGGCACTAAAAAGAACAGTGAAAATACTCACCTGTTTGCACAGGCTGCTCCCTCTGCTGATAGAAATGCTGCACAATGGCACTTGCCACTGGAAGAGCAACACCACTTGTGTAGGTAAGCTAGTATTCCTCTGCACTGCCCTGTCCTGCCTAGCGATCCTGTTGCCAGTGGCAGGATTATAAGTTTGACATGGCCTTACTCTTTAGAGAATTGAGTGAGCGCGCTGCTGGTAAATAAAGTAGTAATCACAGCTGGGTACCCTGACCCCATTGGTTAGCAGCTGCTGCCCCCTCTCCATTTGTCCCTCTTGTTTCTTTATTCATATAGTCCTTACATTGTTTTCAAGGCTTACAATTTAACCTGGCCATACACATTACATTCTGATTGTGGGCCTAAACTACCCCCCAATGCTTCACTGTTGGTCTGTTAATGTGATGGGCGGGCTTGCTGACCTGTAGTATGGAGTGGTTGGGGTTTGAGCTAAATTGCTAAAGAAAGAGTTATATACCAGAGTATGCCCGGTATTGAGCTCCTGGGGTGCTCAATATGATTACTAAGCTATGCGCAGGTACCTATGACTGCCTTCAGAAATATGTCGGAATCAGTTCAAATAAATAGCAATACAGGTACACTTTTAAAGTCAGGAAATCAACTGTGTCTAATACAATGTTTCCTCTACCAACACCACGTTTACATGATATCTTGCATAATATAAAGCACAAGGGCGCTTTATATTGAGAGTATTGAATGATCCTTCCATACATTTAATCAGCTTGAAATCTTTAGGCAGAATGTACCATTTCCTTCTCTACTCACCTTTTTGGTATTCCACTGTACCTTTACCAGCTTTCATTCTTCTCAATGTTAAACTGTCCATTTGTGTGACCCCTTCTCTCCCACTTGACTGTCATCTTTAGTTTGGCACTGCCTATCGGTAATGTCTCTTCTCTCACCTGTCTGTTTTCTTTTATGCCGCTATTACTGCTCTATGCAGCATGGTGCCTCCTCTAACTCTCTGCTCCTTTTCCCAATAGTGTCTTCCTGTTCTGTTGCCTGTGCTCCTTTCTCCAGTGTTGTTACTGTTTTCCGTTCTGCACCCCTGCTCCTTCTTCTCAATGTCACCTGTGTCTTCCTCTTCTGTGCCATCTGATTCTTTGCCCCACTATAGTCAGAAGAGATAGACACACTGATGTCATTGATGAGAAGGATCAGAGGTTACAGAAGAAACAGAGAGCACTTCAATGTCCTCTGTTTCTTCTCCATATTGACATCATCAATGTTTTTTCTGTCCTCTTTTCTGTTCCACATTGTCTATATATACCTATTCTGTGCCCTCTGTTCTTTCTGTCCTGAGCTCTCAGTTACTTCAATTCATCCCTTAGCCACTCTGGTTTTTCTATACCTACTGTCATTCATTGCTTTCCACTTTAATTTCCTTTCATACATGATGCTGCTGCAGGCATCGGACACTTACCACTTTTAATTCAAGGTTTAGCCCTCTACAGTTTCTCTCTGGCAGCCCCTGACTACCATGGAAGACAGACTTCTGAGCATAAGTGAAATGTGAAATGTCATTAATGTTAAGCCCTTCTACTTGCAACTAATACATGCTACTTGTGGTTCAGCATGTTCTGGTTGGTGTAGAAAGTAGTCTCTCCACTTCACGTAGGCAGAGAAAGTGTACAAAATGTTTCTGCTCACAAGCGGGTTCAAGAAGAAAGGCTTAGGTAAGCAGGGCATTTATTTGGATGCTGTTAACTACCCTTAGGGTGTTCCCAGTGTGGCCTGCTCTCTCTCCGATTGGTTGATTTTGCTTGTCAAGTGTCTGGGGAAGTATGGCACTGGGAGTCATTGGATGTGCCTCCTCCATGGAGTTGATGTAAATCCTCCATGTGGCATAAAATAAGTGTTGCTGAAGAAGTTCAAATCATAATGTGAGACCGTTCATGCACTTTAAGCCAAACAAAAATGCATAACTCTATAGTCTGATAATGTGGCAAAACAGGTACGACTTGTATGTCCACACTCATCACGCATCATTTCAATCTTATTTTGGTAGCTGTATACAAATTCAAATGTTTATCTGAAATTGCATATCGCACTGGGACATCACATTTGAGTAGCAGCAGAAGAGAACGTAGAGGCCATGATTTTGTTACAATGGCAATGGAGCTTCCTTCTCACCAAGCTAGGAACATGGTGCGGAGACTTGCAGGGTGACAAGTTGCATCTGAGTTTAGTAGATGGGAGCGTGCCATGCAGCCAAGCTTCACATTCCCCCAGCCCGGGAAAGTATGGCACTAGGAGTCGTTGGGGGTTCCTCTTCTTTTGAACTAATTTAAATCCTTTATGTATCATAAGGCAAGTATTGATGAAAAACTTCAACTTCACATTGAAACAAACTATTTTGCCACTGTTCAATAATATTGAGTAAAGTTTTTGTTATATTGATGTTGTGTGGACATTGATCACTCCTATACACCATAAAAGATAACCTGGCCGGTGGGGAATGTGAGTAATCCAGAAGGGGAAGGAGGTTGGCATTGGCTGCAGAAAGCTAGAGAGTGCATTGGTGCTCAGAAATTCCCCTACAAAAAGAGAGAGCAGTGGGGGCAAAAGGCCCATAGACACAGAGAGAAAAGAGCTGGGAAATCGAGTATCCATGCTGGAGGTATAATGTTAGGCAGTACTCATTCTGTGGCCTAGTAAGAGCATACCCCAGCCAAATTAAGCTTACAGAGATGGGTACACCAAGAAGGGAGTGTGGTCCAGGAGTTGGGAAACTCATTGTTGAGGCTGCTGTGAGGGGTGCTTATTGAACAGCATCATGAATGTTATCCCACCCTGCTGTTGCATGGTTTCCAATAGAAAAGGCTTTCCTTCTACTGCACTGCTGCCCTCACAATAAGCACGAGTTATATGACATTGTGCATTCGGTCTGTCCCTTTAGACAGGGTTTTTCTGCCTTCTCTGTCCCACCTTTCAACCCCAAAAATCATTTTAGCATTGGCAGAAATATACATATGGCAGAATTAGGCCTATATATATCTATATTGGTTTTTTTTGTGTTTTTTCTGGGAGGGAAACTGTCCAATGTGTATTTTAAGCTTTAACAGTGATGTTTGGTGCTATTTTCAGTTCGGGGTATGTCTTCTCCACAGATATTATTTTAACGTGAACAGGAGTCTGAGTGCAGTGACTATAAGAGTAACGCCTTGTGAATCGCCAATCCTGTGGACACTGTCTTTTCTAACTGCTCATGGTATGAAGATAATCATTATAGCTTGTCATATGCTGTAAATAATGTAATAGAAGACTGTAGAAAAGAGAAAACTTTATTTTATGGTGTGTTAAGGAGCAGCAAGATTTACACAAAAAGGCAGATCAAGCACTTTGATCAAGTGATGGAAAGCATTTTCTGGCCAAAGGGAAGGGACACGGTGCCTACACATAGTGTATACCTTAAATCCATGCCAGTATTGACAGTATGTCTTGATATTGATCTTCAGCACACAATTTTGCTAGGTTGATGGGCGCATGATTTTAAATAAAGTGTATTTCAGCTACATCTCCTATCACAAATACTTGAACTTTTAATTCATTATAGTCTTATAATATTGCAAAAATAGCACAACGTGAATGTCAACACTCTGGAAAATGTCAATCTTATTCTTGTAGCTGTATACAAATTCAAGGGGTTATAGAAAATTGCACACAGCATTGGGACATCACTTTTGAGTAGCAGAAGAAGAGGAGGAAGTGGCCATGGCTTTGTTACCATGGCACTGGAGCTTCCTTCTCAGAAAGCCAGCTTTTCTGGTGTGTTATGGGTTTGTCACATGTTCAGATTTATAAACCTGGTTCCCTCAAAAGACACTTACAAACTGAAATAGGGACACCGTTGGGTTCCTATAAACATATATATATATATATCAAAATTTTCAAAACTCCTCAGTGCCATCTAAGGGTGTTAGTGCTGTGTGAATGGCATCTGCCCAATGTACAACTTTTGTAAATGAACCCCCAAATGTTGTATGTGTAAAGTCGTTCCACCAAGTGATCATACATCCATTTTTTGATTCTTTGTGTTTTTTTTAAAGGATCTCTTGAGCAATGGGGTTCTCATCAGAAATATCGGCACAGGACTTCTCAGACATTGTTTTCATTTGAAGGAAATGGGGAGGAGACAGTCTCTACAGCGGTGACTTCAGGTGGTTTTTTCTATCTTGATATAATTTCACTTGAGTCTGACACCAGCTTCCAAGTCTTTGTCTGGAACAATCAAGATGACATTCCTCCATGGCCACAGCTTCCCTCCGATCCACGTGTCGATGTTTTGTCTGCACAAGATGATACTGTCAAGCTGTCATGGAAGCCCAGCTTAGGGCCTGCTGAAGCTAACTTTGAGTATTGTGTATTCATAAATAAAAAACATAACTTTAAGACACTTTGTGCTACTCAGTTGAACACAATGAAAGATGTGGAAGGTCACCAGGACACTGAAGATGACATGACCCTAAATGTAATTACAGAGAGCTTAAAAAATAAGATTAATGCTTACCCCAAACCCTCTAAGAGTTTGAAGATTCCAGGGGTGGTTGAGCATGAAACTAATGAATTTTGGTCTTCTCAGAGCCTGTCCGGAAGTCAAAGGGTATGTGTTGGGCCAAGGACCAATGCTACAATCCATGGTTTAAAGCCTAAAAGTCTTTACTACTTTGATGTGTTTGCACTGAGCCGAAAGCGTGGTACTAGTGTGGCTTACACGGGAACTTTTGCTGAAACTAAACCAAAACACAAATCACAAGTGCCTAAGCTCCCCAATGATGAAATGGTGGACATATTTCTGAAAAGCAAAGGTATAAAAGTCATAGCTGTTGACCCACCCTCCTATGGATTCAAATGGCTTTTTGTCCATTCCTGCCTTCATAAAGTACATATTCAGATCATGTTAAATGGACAAGTCCAGCTGTCTCAAAGTCTTCAAGGAGCTCAAAATTTTAAGCTAGGTGGGAATTCAAAGGGCAACTTTATAATTAGCTTGAAATCAAGTAAAGGAGGTCTAGGTTTGGTAAAGCTCTTTACTACCAACATACACAACAACCTCCCATTTCCCAGCCTTCCCTCTGCCATTAATTTTTCTGCTTCAAAAAGATCATGTTCCTCTGCCACACTCACCTGGACCAGCAATGGATATGAAAACAAATACTGTATTTATGCCAGACGCATAGAGCAGAATTTGGACCTAAGACTTATCCAGAAACACCAGAATGGGTGCCTAAGCACTAGCTACCGAGCTCCAGCCGAGAGAGTACTTTGCCGAAAAGTTGGAAGTAAGACTCTTATAGAAGAACACATCACAGATCTAAAACCTGGAAAATCCTATCTTTTCGACTTGTACTTCATAGGTCACAACAACACCACAATAAAGTTTCCAAGCCGAGCGGTAAAGACTCAGGAATCGTGTACCTGAAAGTATCCCCTCAATTTAAGGACATCTGGACTCATGGTATGCTTCGAAGCTACATTTAGAAGGTACCATAAGTATGTTGCAGGAAATTGCACACTCCCTGGCATTCAGTAGGAAAACGATGGCTTATTGCAGATCCTTTCTACAATATAGTGTTTTAGGAGAAGGCAACCAGTTAATTTCTAAAATGCTCACATACACTATAAATATAAGTGCTATAACAAAAATGGCTTTGTGGTGGGTTCTGCTAATAAAAATCAACATGACATATTTCGGTTCTTTAAGCTATATATATATAGTCAGTCTTGATATTTGTTTATGGCACATTGACAAGGGGGTCTATAAGGCCCAAAAATGCTGTTTTGTGACCTGTTTCCATAATGCGTACTATGCTTTTAAGTGCAGCCTTTGCGTTATCCGGAGTTTTTACACTTTACAGATGTTTATGTCATCTTCTGGTAGCTGCTCTCAATTCTTCATATGCATAGTGCAACGTGCTTATAAACATGTGGCATTAATGTCAACACTGGGCACACCCAAATGTAACACTAAAATATAGGTGCTGGTAACAACCTTGTTACAGGGATCACAGTTGATCACGTTACTAAGCTAACATAACCTTCTTTAGCAGTATTTCCATTTAGTGAAAGTATAGGGCTATGGAGAGAGGAACATTTTGCATACTGATTCAAATGACTGTTTCCCTTTTACTGTAAAGGATTGTGTATGTCAAGCATACATTTATGGAAAACAGCTACTTTATGTTCTGATACAATGGGGACTGATAATACTAAACAAATGATTTATACATTTGGGTGGAGATCAAATGGTGCCAAGTTTCAACTTAAAACCACATCTAATGCTACCCAAAGGCAGCAGACAATAGTGACCCACAACTGGGCCAAAGAGAATCTCATGTGCACAGTGATGATTACATTTTGCTATTGTTCCTTTGGCAATAAACTAGTGCTTTTCTTTGCTACTTGGCTGCACATCTTCCCTTTCCATATGGTTAACACTGCAAAGTAGGATTGGGAATTGCTCTAGTGTTGCTCTAGCCCAAAGGAAGGCAGTGGACATACAGCCATTGTAATCTATGGCGGGCCTTACTGTTTAGTTGCTTCAATGGCTTCAGAGCTACATTTACAACGACAGAGAACTGTTTAGTCGCAGAGTCCAAGTTTGACAACTTCAACATTCCTCATTCAGGCCATGAGAGGAGAGGATTTCTACCATATGGCTGAAAATGGAAATCCCTTGGGCTTAGTGGCCCTTTAGCATAGAACAACACATATTTTATAAGTACTGCAGACATTATATGAACGTGTACAACTGCCATAGCACTTGGCTCAGAAATGGTAAATTCTATAAACAGCATATATACAGTTCTCTTCTGCATAGCGTGCTGACTTGCTAAATATTTATAAAGAACACACCCATAATTTTATTAAAAGCAGTCAAGACAAAGTTACTTGACTTTGCAAAGTACAAGTTCTGCCTATTAATTAAAATTCACATCATCAGTGTGGGAAACAGATGAAACATTTTGGATGCTAATAAACAGGTTTTGCCTTTGCATTCATGTATTGTGGTCTCCCTCTAGTGGTCACACAATTAAATACAAGCTGCAATACAAAACATGCAATTATAATTTCTATATCTGTATATGTATTTATCTGTCTTTTGTGTTTGTTTGAGTATGAAATATATTAAATAAAAGAGTTATAAAAAAAGTTATCAATTTTGCTTAATTAACATTTTAAAATATTTTACAGAGCAATTTACATATTAGTAATAGTTAGGTTGAATCAAGACATGCCTATACAGGTCAACCAAAAGTAAAATGTATTGCTAAGCCAGATTTGATATAAATAGAACTTCCAGTTTGAAATTGCTAATTACAATCCAGGTGCATCAAAACCAAAGTGTTTCAGATTTTAGGTAGTAACGCCTGTCCCCTTCCAGCATGCTGCACAGAAGGACCCTTGGTCCCTTTCTAGAGATCTGACCCCCTGCTTAGTCAGACCTATAGCTCTACAATTAGAAAAGTTCCCACTTTCTGCTGACTGGAGAGAGCAGAGGTCCTTTTCTGCAGCAGGCTGGAAGGGGATAAGTTTTTCTTCAAAGGATGTACAGTACGTTTTTTTTACTAAGACTTTTCTTGTATTTTTAATGCACCTGGAATGTATTTAGATGATAAAAACAAGGACTGCATCTATAATTAGGGATAACAGGTATGGTACCTTAGATTCAGACAAAGAATGGGCCTGGTGGAGGATGCAATTACATCACTTTAAAGGAGAACTATGAGGTGAGTGATTTTCACTCAGCCACATAGTTGGAGCTGACGTGTGACAATTAAACTGTCACACGTCAGCTCAATAGATTGGGAAGGGAGCGAACACATACCGTCGCTCGCTCACTTCTCGATCCTGTCCCTGCAGAGAGCTGTGACTGTCACTCACTGGTCCCTGCAGGGATTCCCACCCTCCCCACTCCGATCCTCCAGTGCTGACTGGAGGGACGAAGGGGGGAGGGCGTGGGTACAGCTGGCTCTGCCTCTAGATAGGCAGAGCCAGCTGTCAATCATGCAGCTGGGTGGATCTCGACAGTAATGTTGGGATCCGTCCCGGCTGCGGCGGTCTCAGTAAAACGCGATCTGTAGCTCGCGGTATACTGAGCTTTGGGTCACGGGAGGACGCTAGTTTATGTGCTCCCGTGACCCTTAGGAGAACTATGGAGAAAAACACTTACCTCATAGTTCTCCTTTAAAATGCAGAGTGTGCGATACTATGGTATACTGTGCAATAGTACGGTAATAAATAATACTGTGTAGGAGGAGGGAAAGGGAAGCAAACAATGAACTCAACTTATCCACTTATTAGAGAAAACCTGTACTGAGAGCACTGACTGAACTACTCCCAAGGAGGCAGCCAATGCAGTAGCAATGGGGCATAGGCAGAGGAGTGGGGGCAGGTGGGTGCCTCTAGTGATGAGAAGTAGTGGGCAGAAGGAAACTCTCTAATCCCTACATGCTCGTTTCACCAATAGAACATTCCGCATCTCCTGTACTCAGGGGCAGGGGGGTACATATTGGTATTTGAGCACCAGTAATAATTGCAAACACCACCATAGTGGCACCCCTCCTAAAAAAAACAAAAAACCTTGGTATGCTTGTCACGGAGCGTGCACTTTTTTGCACTGGTGTCCGCTGCAGAGCTGGTGTTTCCTATGATGAAACCAAAACCACCCTATAAAAGAAAAAGGGCAGTGTTCTAAAACTTTGAGGTTTTGTTCCTCATCAGCCACCGATGGTATCCTGCACTTCCAGGTGTGTGGAATAATTGCTCCACCTAAGCACTGAAGCTTCTCCCGCCAGGCTCCTATATCACTGTGATATAGAGGTCACCCAGAGGAACCATATCTCAGAGACAGAGATCAGGTATTCAACGACCGAAAGTGTTAAATACCAGCGGTGGCCAAAAGTACTTCCTAGGACTATATTTCTTGTCAAAGAACTTCTTTTTCAAATCCTTAGATTGCTGGGTATATGTTTCCTTATCTTTACAACTTCATCTGTACTTTAGGAATGTCCTTTTGGGATCCACGCTATCCAAAGCTTATGATAACAACTGTCTACTGGGAAAAGGCCATTACCGTCAGTGTTCTTCTGGTAAACTTGGATGTTAATGTTATTCTCTACCACTTTAATCACTTCATTTCAAAAAGTTTACTTTGCTCTTACTGTAAGGGGTGGTGAACTCTAGCTTCTATTTCAGGTTATCTAAACCTTTCACAAATTCAGGGCTTATCGTCCTTCAAATAAAAATCTCCTCCCAAAGCTCCATTAAAATGTGTGGATACAACAGGGCAAATTTACAGCCCATAGGTGAACCCTTTAATTGATTTATAATGTGAACCCTTATATTTTCTCAAAACAAGCTTGATTGCTTCTAATAAAAAAATCTACTTTATCTCATCTACTGCATTTTTTACCACCTCTATATATCTGTTATGCTCGATAATATTATTTATTGATTTCACAACACAATCAATTCAAACACCTAAGAACATCCTTGGTATCTTCAGGGGAACACGGGACGTTTCTGCACAAATGGTTGGAGGTGTATGTCAATGTATTCTGAAAGTCTACCTGTGTGCACCAACACATGAAACTGTTGTGTTCATTAAGGAACCGAAGGAGCTAGCCGTAACTTCCGCTGATCTTCGGCTCACTTTGGCCGGCAGAGCCCTTCGGTTCAGTGAAACCGAAGGGCTGTTGTACAGGCTATTCACTATAGCCCTTACAGCAGCCAAAGGCAGGCAAATGGCTCAGCCGAGTCGATCGCATATGCTTCGGCTTGGCTGAGCCATTGTCACAGCCGTTTCGAATCTGTCGAAGCAGACCACTTTCCCTGCAAATGACAACAACTGGGCAGAGCTGCGCCCAGTTGTCATTTGATGACAGCCCAGCGTCCTGAGGTTATTTGAGGACACTGTGCTGTCACTGAATGACAGCAATGGGCAGAGCCAGCTGTGACGATCCGGCGGACTCTGACGATTTTTTTGATTCGGCCGGTCCCTGATGTGACAGGTGCAGACAAATGTAAAAACTTGGGGGGAGCTAGCGGTGATGTCACCACTAGCCTCGACCAATTGTATATATATATTGCCGGCATCCGTCAGCTTGTCATTTTGCGCCTGGAGTTCGTTGCGTGTGGTCGGGTCGGCGGGTGTCGTTTTTTTTTATTTTGCTGATTCGTCATCGTCATTGACAAAACTGAACGTCATGATTGACCTTAGCATTACATCAATTTTAGGGATTTTCTTTTTTTTTCAAATAAAGGAAATGTCAAAATTCCTTGTGGTTTTGTTTCTATTAAAGGATTTTTTCAAAAGTGTGGGCTCTTTATTTTTATTTTTATTTAACCCTTAGTGAATGGGTAGGGGTACAAGTACCCGTTACTCATTCACAGGGGGGGGGTCCCCTTTATTAAAAGGGGACCCTGATGTGAATAAGCCCCTCTGCCCGCACCCCCACA